AGAAGTATTGCTGTGCATTGACTGGTGAAGTAAGTTGGGATCATTGAAATCAGATTTCTGGACCTGGATCTTTCAGTGGGCTGATGGATCTTGAGCTTGTTAGGATGCCATTTGCATCCTTAATTTATTGACAAATGTTCCTTCCTTATGTCAAATTTAATGGGGGGAAAATAGTTTTCTAAATCTCTAAAGTCAAAATTCTGACGCCGCTCCTTGTTCCAGACTCCAAATGCTCTTTGAGTTTTTTGCAATGCGAAAGTTTCTAAATGCAGTTAGGTGCTTAGAAAATGCAGTTTCGGTAAGAAATTTTTAATAGATAATAATTTTTTTTTTCACCAAAGGAAGAGGGATAGCAAGTAGCTAAGTCAGACTCTGAAATGCCACCAGTTGTAGTCATATACATATTGGAGAACGTGGTTTGCAGGTAGGAAAACCTAAGTTTCAATTTCCAAAACATTTAAAAAAGACTGACAATGCCTCTGCTGTTCATCATTCTGCTGCCCATCGATGTAACTATCTGACCGATAGATGGATTTTGTGTAAAGCATTTTCAAAAATTCCTGTGACATGTTCCGAGGCAGCTTATATGGAATTTAGTAACAGCATTCTCACTTCTTAGTTCCAATATGCCTAAAGGAAGTTTCACTTATATGGAACTGATTTTTAAGATGCCACTCATCCTTTCCCCAAGGGCAAGTAACAACGTTTTTTAATCTCATTTGTCATTTTAATATTTTTTTTCTTTTAAGGGAAACATTTGTTGCTTCCTCATATATCAGAATGGAATGCAGAAAATCACAAAGCCACTCTAGAAATCTCTATGTCTTAGTGTGAAATCCTGGTCTTCCTGATCAGAGTCCAATGAACTTTGTGTGACACAAGAAGATGGACTAAAGTTGGCAGAGTGCAGTGATTTTGACTGTATTCTGTGTTGCTTTTCTCTCCCCCTCCCTCCCTCCCTCCCTCCTTTAAAGCATTGGGAGATAAAGAAATAGCCATTTTCCCCCCTTGATGGTTGTTGTTTTACACTGGGGTTGCATACTGCCTTTTTCTCATCACTTTTGGAAATTGCTTGTTAACTGCTTTTCAGTTATTAGGATCAATAAGTTTTACAGCACCAGGTGAGTTTCCTTCAATCCTTAGAGAAAGAAGTTTTAAACTTTTAAAACTTTAAAATTAAAATAAATAAATAAATATAAGTTTAAGGACTTAAGAAACAATCTTGTTTTGGAATAAAAAAGGGTGATTTTGGAAAGTTACAAATGGCCTAAGGGTTCAGATGGATTTGAAATAAGATGAAGGAAATCTTTAAATCCTTGAAAAAATGGGAAATGCTATTCTTTTCAGTTAAAAAAGTGATAGGATAGGAATTTGAAAGCTGGACTTTAGAAGGAGCTAAATATTACAATTAAAGGAGAAGAACATGTAATTTTGACTTACTAATAGAGATTAGAGCAAAATACTTCAGTATTGGATATATTAAATAATATTTGTGAACAAAGGACTTGGTAGTTAATTTTAAGAGTGTTTGCCAATATAGATAGACCAGTTTTACCACAATATAGATAGACCAGTTTTACCACATAAGGCTGATTTCAAAGTGGATTTAAAAATGACAAGCTACAAGGATGATATGGAAAAAGATGCTATACTGGATATACAAACCAAACCAGCTGATGACTTAATAAGTAAAATAAATATACAAATAACAAAGCAAAAAAGCAACCTGGATAACTTTCTTATGTTGGATTTATAAAAGAGACCTGTTAAAGCTTTGGAGAATTTTGAGAGCAGAATTTTGTAAGAGGCAAAGAAAAAATAAAAAGAAACCGAGTCCTAAGACATTATTTGAAGGGATTAAAGACCAAGATTATTCAAACTAAACGGAAGGAATAAAAAGTTGGCTTATTTGATCAAAGTTGAAATAGATAAGTTGTTATCTCTGGTAAACTTTAATGGACTTTTGCTGACCAGGTATGAACGACAAAGCTTTACGAATTTGTAGATAACATGCACATAAATAATAGAGTCCTCCCCCTTTCCATTAGGAATATTCAGAGAAGTCAGATGTGTGATTTTGGGGTATACTGCATTGGTTACATTCAGGAAAGGTGCCCTTACCTTATCTGGAGAAGCTAAACAGCCTCAGTGACACACGATGTTGTTATGTGCAGCCTATGGATTCCAGTAATGTTCTCTATTAGAAGTGTTCTTTATTTGGAAACAAAATGTGGTATAAAACCTGCACTGAAGAATCTTCTAGATGGAAGCAAGCAAGTAGAGTGCATTATATGGCATCGGTATTTTGAAGTTGGTGCCATCAGAGTCTGTTGAACTTCAACTCTCAAAATTGCATAGCTACCGGTGGGTCTATGACAATTCGCCGTGGCCAACTTGCCACAGCCAACTCACCATGGCCAACTCGCCATAGGACAACTTGTTGCCAGATAAAAGTTATACTAATAACAAAGAAATGGTGGAATAAAATTATTAAAGAAAGGATGCAAAAGGAGGGACAGAATGAAATGTGATTGACAAAAAATAAAATAATTTAGTTAGTTTAAATAATTAAATAGAATTGTTAAATTGTTGTCCCATGGCAAGTTGTCTCATTCCTGCTACCGATAGCACTCTGACTGGGATTTCTCTGAGTTGAATCCAGAGGCCACCACTGGATAGAATTTGTTTGGAGAAGGCCACCCCAAACACACCTACTCACTTATCCGTCTTGGGTTTGGCTGAGGAGATGCATTCCCCGACACTTCCTCCAGCCAGGGAATTCTCTTATCTTCTGACTGAGATCCTGCAGTTTTGCCATCCCTGGACTTCGAGTCCTTTTGAATGATTGTGTATTTAAAGGCTTTATCTGTGGGTCAGAACAAACAACTTGTGTTTTTAGGGGAACTTTTTGAATGAAATGATTAAGTCACGTGTGTGGGGTATTTGGTGCTCTCTGAGCTTGGTTGTTTTCCTGCAGATGTTTCGTTACAAAACTAGATTACATCAGTGCTCACATGCTACATTCACATTTACAAGTTTTGTGGAAGTGTAATATAACTGAACCTCTATATAGGAGGTGTGGCAGAACATAGGGTAGAGTGAAAAGAGGGATCAGCCTAGAATCCCTACATGGCCACAAGTGAACTAAGTCCCCCCCCCCCCCGTCTTGAATTCTGTTGACCCTTATCTAACTCCAAGTAGGTGCATTAGTTGAGAATATTCCTGTGCACGGGTATGAGTACCAATAAATCAGTTTAATTGGACCTTCACATGTGGACCTAATCTTTTGGGTCTGACAATGTATGATTTTGCTTTTCTTCTTATATGAGATTTGAAAACTTGTCATTTAGACTTGAGTTCTGAAGTTCATGAATTTTTTCCTTTGTTCAATGGAGTCTGGTTAGATAATAAAAATTACTTCAATGGAAAATATCTTCAGTGACATCTCATGGTTTGCAACAGTGCTTCGAAATAGCAGGAGATAAATTATTGGTCCAGCTCATGGAGAAAATAACATGTCTGGAAATGCGTTAAGTGTAACATCTCTTCTTAATTTATACAATTTGTTTGATACGCTATTTTGAGGTAATCTAACACATGGGGAATTAAAAAGCAAATTACATATTTGATTACACTGGTTGATTGCAGAAGTAATCTAAGAAATAGTGCAGTTCTTCACAATAGCCGAATACTTACATTTACCCAGATTTAGTTTTCCTTTTATGCAGAGTGTTTTTCCAGTTCTGTTAATATAGAAGTTGTAACCGTTTTCAAAATTTAACATATATAAAACCATAATGTATATTTACAGGGTTCTAAAACTTTCTGGAAAAAGAAACTATTAATTCTGGACAGGATTGTTTCACAATTGTATGCATTATAGATGAGAAATTTTAATTTAGTGATAAGGAGAGTTCTGAAGATAGAGATAGGTTTAGTTTGAATCTCTTCCCTACTTGTGTTTTTAATATTAGTAAGTTTAGCTTTTTCCTACATGGAGCAATACAAATAATAGGGATAATTTAATAGTGTCAGAGTTTGAAATTTTATTTTTCTTTTTGTAAACCATCTATTAAATTATCCCTATTATTTGTATTGCTCCATGTAGGAAAAAAACACGCTTAGTGTCAGAGTTCGAAATTATTATTTTTTTTGTAAACCATCTAAGCATGATCATGTTAGCTGGCAATGATGGGAATAGTCCAACAATAAGAAAGTTGATTTATAAATAGAAGATAAAGACATCCCAAAGGTGCTTTTTCAAAAGGCAACTGGACTTTGTTTTTCATTGAAGACGTTTCGCGTCTCCTCCAAGAAGCTGAAGAAGCTTCTTGGATGAGAAGCAAAATGTCTTCAAGAAAAAACAAACTCCAGTTGCCTTTTGAAAAAGCACCTTTGGGACAACCACGACCTGGATGATGGAGGATCTCCATAGAAAGAAGATAAAAGAAATTCCAATTAATATTGCTTGAGTGCGCAGAATACGTCACCTCTTGGATTCCCCTTTCTGGACAAAAAAAAAAATAACCGCACTTGGACTCTGTGTTGATTGATCCAAAGCACCAATCCAGTTCTTGGTTCTGTCCTTCCAGTTGGTCCCAGAGGATGAGAATCCTTTCTCTGTGTCCCCCTTTATTCTCTCTTTTTTAAATCACTCATTTTCCTTTCGTGATATGGAAGGGAAGTTGGAATCTCAGGGGTAGCTAATCCATTTCAGATGGTCTCCGCCTCTCCACCCCCCAAGAAAACCAGGGTGCTCAGATTTCTTCCTTCAAAGCAGAAGAATGACAATTAGTAGTAGCTTGTTTATAAGCTGTTCGGCCGTTTGAAGTCTTCCAAACCCTTCTGCTTGTTCGTCCCCCTTCCAGCCTTTTAACTCGTGCCTTTAAAGAGCCCAGGGGGTGTTGATTACTTGGCTTCTGTAGCTCTGAAGTCTCCTCCTCCTCCTCCTCCTCCTCCTCCTCCTCCTCCTTCCTGAGATCCACCCCTAAGCAGAATACGCACTGTGGAATGACAGGCATTCGTTCTTCCTTGGAGGGGGCTGGCATGGGAGCGTATTTATGAGAATTACACCGTGCCCAGGCGAGCAATACAGGACATACCGTGGCAGAGCTTGGACCCGCAATCCTGGACTTTTTCTGACTTGGGACCATTCTTCTTTGGGGTCTCGGAGTGGGTTGGGGGGAAGCGGTGAAGTTTCTCCACCCTGCGGAGTCTGTTAACTTTCAGAGGCTGATGTCTGCTTCTCGAATCGGCTTGCCTTGCTCCCTCTCTCTGAGCCTACCTTGAAGAATAAAAGAATGGGACAGACACGCTACTCAAGACCGGTATATCCAGCTCCCTTGGGTGAGTAATGGAGGGTCTAGTTGCAGCTGAAAGCACAGCCAAGAATTGTAGGTGAAGTCAAAGCACGTTGAAAAAAGAGATGGCTAGGATTGTGTAAGTTGGAAGAGTTTTTGATTCTCAGAAGTGCCGAGGAGAGATTGTTTTCGTAATCCTTGCTTAAAAAAAAAAAAAAAAGAGAGAGAGAAGCCTTGCTTTGGAACATCTATTGCTCTGTAACTTGTACCTAGTGTACTTTAGGAACCAGTCTTTTTGATCTTTGCTTGTTGCTGCCAGAGTGGAAAAAAATTCCGAGTAAAAGTGGTCAGCAGAAAATACGTATCCTGCATTTTGCTTGGAGTGAAATGCTTCAGACAAGGATGATGCGCTGATTTACTATTTCTCCTCTGTGTGATACTTAATTATTAAAACACACTTCTTCTAATCACCTACCATCCTGAAGCAATTTAATCAGTCATCCTTTAAGCAGGAGATTTTTTAAAAGAACACTTGTCCATATCCACTTGCTTCCATTTTCAAAAAAAGACATTGCCTCCACGATCCTACACTTTAAAATTAAAATGGACTCATCATCCAAGAATGAAGGAAGGAACACAAAAGTTTCAGGTTGAGGATTCCAGAGAGTGGGTCTTTTCAGTCCCATCCCATGGGTTTTAGGGACTATTAATGCCACTATTGAAGTCATTGTTGCTGTTCCTACAAAATCCCATAACTGTACATCTCTCGGGTTTTGACAAACTGTTTGGCAAAGCAGAGAAGCAAAGAATTGGGGCAGATGTAGGGGAAACATCTTGTGGTGTCTCAATTCAGGGCAGCCTTGGTGACAGTGGAGGAAATATCCAGGACTGGGTAGGTTTGCATTTTAAGAGTTAACATCAGAATCGTACAAGGGATCTTTTTTCCTTCTTCCTCTCCTATTTAACTGTGGACCCAATTGAATCGTCTAGGGCAGTGGTTCTCAACCTGTGGGTCGGGACCCCATTTGGGGTTGATCGACCATTTCATGGGGGTCGCCAAGCAAGGCTGTCCACCATTTTTTTTGTCCGCCATTTTTTTTGTCCGCCATTTTTCCCCCCCTTTTCCGGTGGGTGCCTTACCTCCCTTGGGCTGGGCCAGCTGGTGGTTGGCCTGCTCCGTCTCTGCCGCTTGCCAGCTACGCCTCAGCCAGCGCAGGGGGTGGAATCACTCATGTGCGGAGCTCCCGGGCAGGGAAAGTCCTCGACTTATGACCAGTTGGGTAGTCCTCGACTTATGACTGGTTTAGTCCTCGACTTACAACCGGTTTAGTCCTCGACTTACAACCGGTTTAGTCCTCGACTTACGACCGGTTGAGGTCGTGGCATTAAAAAGGTTGAGAACCACTGGTCTAGGGAGCCATCCAGAAAATATCTCTATCAGGCTACCAAGATTGGCGTGGTGTTGCCTGGTAGTCAACCAGGATCTGAATAAAGATGCTGACAATTGAGGTTTTTAATGTACCTGCCATTTTTTTTCACAGTACTACAAATGAGTTAAGAAACATTTCTTAGCCTGACTCTGTGCAGGGTATATTTCACAAATAGGGTGTGACTTTAGTAGAGACAGTCTTTGATTTGGGAAATGAGCTTTAAGAGTTAAATATGTTTGCAGCTTGTCTTGTGGCCTCTATTATAAGTCGCATTTTAAATCTCCACTAAGTGCCTTCCCATTTTTAAGAGGCGATTTTTAATTTTGTGTGTCTGTGCGCTCCCTACTAATTTAAATTGCTAAATGTATTTAGCAATTTCCTTATTTGCAAAGGAGTAGATTAGATAGTAGCAGACAGATCCTTATGTTCTATTATCTTGTGTTGCCAATGTTTAGAAGACTTAAACCAAAGCACTGGTAGTTGAAATAAAAAACAATTCTTTAGCAATAGATAAACTTTTGTAGGTACTCAAAGAAGCCCTCTGAAATGATTAGAACAGTATTTAGGGTGCAACATATGTATTATGTTTCCTTATTCTCACTTGCTGTTACCAAATTAAATCAACACACCTGATTTGCACCTTAGTTTCTTAGAGATTGTATGCATTGACCAGAGACAGAACGTATATTTGCCCTTGTTGCAAATAGAAGTATGTGGCATTTGTTGATGTGACACAGCTTACAATATTGGAAATAGCCATTATTTTTCTGTAGCAGGTTGTTTTTTCTTTCAGGAAGATAGGTGGGGTGACCTTCCCCATACTTAAGCCCTGAGTGCACATAGTTTGACTTCAGCAAACATATTGCAAGACAGTCTGGTGCTCTTGGGAAGGTGTGGGGGAAAATGTGGAATTCAGTTCAAACTTTAAAAAAAAAAATCCTTTCCAGACAAGGGCTTTATCCAACGTTCTCTTGACTTGTCTGTGTGTGGGTTCCCAGTGACAGAATGTGCCATGGAAATGATTCTATGAAATGTGAATTTTGTTATGCGTATAATACATTACACAGTGTAACAGACAGCTGTAGATCTACAACCCGTGGGTCACTGGTTGTGTGGATGCGGAGGTTGAATTCCTTTTATTTCCTCCAAGAATTTGCTGCCACTACCCATATACTCTTTTGTTCCTGCTGAAGTAGAGCAGAGCTTGTTTTTTTTAAGGGGAAACATTGGTTTGCAGCATTACAGTCTTTAAGCTTATCAGCTGTAACTCTGGATGTTTTCCACCCCTCAGTATCTAGTGCTATTAGTTCTGGTTATGATGAAAAAAAATGACAAAACATGTTGTGACTTCATGATGCAAACTTCACTATTTTGTACTTGATACCAGATGCAAGTACATAAGTCACAGGGTTTTGCCACAGTGATGCTATGATGCGTGTTTTGACACTCCCTCCACCCCCTGTTCCCTATGTGTTCACTTGACATTCATCTCATGCAACTTAGTGAACTATTCAAGCCACTGGTTAAAAACCAGAGTTAGCTGACCCCAATTACAATTTCTGCCAGGCTTCCACTATTTTTCTCAATAGAGGCTTACTGATGCAAATGTGCTGTATATCTCCATAGTGGTTCCTGGACAGTGAGGTTATACAAGTGTTTGCACAGTGGATGCATTATGTCCAAAAATACAATTTGTGCCCAAATTAAGCAGATGTTTTGTGATACGGAATTTAAATTTACGAAAGAGGAATAACCCGTTGTTTTTAATCAGAAAATATGCCAGCTTGAGAGCAGAGGTAAAGCCTGTGCAGACTTCCTTAATGAAACATGAAAGAGCAAAAATAGACGCTTGGTCTACTTTTTACTGAGTTGCCACAATAGCACGAAAAGCCTGCAGCCTGGGATCCTTTACCACAGCTGGACGTAGCTAGCTTTTATTCTCCCCCCCTTAATTTAAATATATGTAAATATTTGAAGTAACACATTATCTCCAATCTAGTTCTATTAGCAAAGATGTATAGAAATAGCACTTCATACCCTTGTGATTTTCAGTTGTTTTGTGAAATAATTTTAACGGGGACATTGTTTACCTCCAGAGAATTTGCTGCTAGCCTGGGGTGAGTACTATGGTATTAATGCGATGGTTGAAATAAAAAGAAGAAGCCCTTTTGTACTGCTCCAGGGTCTGTTGGATCACTGCGCTACATAAGAGCCATCATGGGCTGTTCTTGGCATCGTGACATCAACCACCTTCCTGTTCTGCTTGTCATGTGGCGCTTGGTGCAATGCAGGATACGCTAATATAATGCCACCAAATTTATTGAGTTATTATTGAGTGCCTTGTGGATGCAAGACATTGGCATAGGTATATATGCATTTCTGCTAGCAGAGGGGGATTTATTTCAAAAAAAACTTTAATTTGGTGGTATTTATGGCACTCCTTTACTGCTTTCTGGTTTTGTTGTTACGAGAAGCTGCTACCCTTTGGGAATATATAACTTAAATGAAGATGATAGCTAACAATTGAAGAAATAGACAAGACAACAGTTGCATTGCTTCAGAATTTTAAATATGTATAAAGAATGATAGGATCTACTGTCTGTGTTAAAACCAGAGGTTTTCTTTTTAAGAGTGATTGATGAGCAGTTAGGAAGATTATTTCAATCTATGATTACTGTGGTGAGATTACTGTATGCTCAATGAGGGAAAGATTGGGCATTACCCACTATGGAGGAATGGTTGGTGGAACTGATAGAATTTGTTGAGATGGAAAAATGGACTTATTCCTGTATTTCTCAACCATGGGAACTTTAAGAGGGGTGGACTTCAACTCCCAGAATTCTGGGAGCTTAAGCCCACCCATCTTAAAGTTCCCAAGGCATTGTTGACATTCATCAATGACTTCAAAACACCTTATGGACTTTTTGCACAAGAAAGAAATGTTTGTGATGTAGGCCTTTGATGATTAGAAGATGTGCGTTATAAACCCACATTACCTGTTGATCCATCCATTGTTTGCACAATACAATCTTAGAATCTTTATGAAGAAGAAGGTGAATACATTTTATTTGACTAAGATTAGCATACTTAACCTCATTGGATTTTTGCATTTAACAGTTATTACTGTAGAATATTTGATTTTGATTACAGGTGGTTGTGGTACAACACCCATTGCTTCAGAGTGGTTATATCCCAGTATGTCTTCACTGAATTACAACCAATAATCAATAGGATGAATTCTAGAACCTCGTTGCCTTTCCATGACATTGGAAAAAATTGTGAATATTATAATTTGGGTCTGCAGCAAATGTCATTAAAATAATGTTCCTAGATCAGAAATGATCATTTCACCAAGTGAATGAATAAAATTAGAGCTCTTATTAAAATATAACGCCCTTGGCATTTTTCTAAAGAGGAAGCACGTCTGCAAATAATTGGAATATTTAGTAGTGTTGCTTTTGATGTCCAGAAATACATTTGCAAAGGAAATCCTAAAGTGTTGGGTTTTGTGTTCTGCAAAATATGAAGAATGATTTTTCAGAAGTATTCACCAAACATGGGATCTCCTTCAGTGTATATCATAATGTTTAGAGCTTACACTGTTTTGTTTTTGCATTCATGACTTTTATTGTTTTATCAGTGTAGAAAATACAAAGAAAAATAAAAATAGGAAATTAAGGGAAGGAAAAAGAGAGAGGGGAAGAAAATATGATGTACAAGGGAAAAAGGAAAAAACATTGACGTCTAATTTTTTTAACACAGTACATGATAACAGCATTACAGCCTCAACTTTTTATTTTTACACATTAGTATATAACTAGCCATTTCTCTTAACAACAAATCTATCTAATTGGCAAAATCAAAGTCAACTAGCTGGAGGTGTCCATATACAAGCCATTAGTTCTTTTGGAGATTTTCTTGATTTTCTTGCTTTCCCCAAAACATGGAGTTGTGAATTCCCACCCAGAGATTTCCCCTAAGTGGTTAATGTGCTAAGTAGTTACTTGTGCACATTTCTGCGTATCTAAGTATGGTTGCAATTGGGTTTTGCATCTGGAAGTATTCTGTATCCCTTTAGTTTGTTTTTTTTAAGGACACAGGTCTTAAAGTGTTCTTGTGCAGCTGAGATTCAAAAATGTCTCATGTCCATATTTGCCAAAAAATAGATTTATTTTTGGAAAGCTCCATGGGAACACCCCCTACAGCGTGAGCCATTTGTGAGTAAGGCAGTTACTCTACAATCTCCCTCTGAAAGAATTATGATAACACCTGATCTACTCACTAAGTCATGGAACAAGAGTAATATATTATTTCTTCATAAGATTGGTCTTAAATTGGCTTTGTTCCCATTCACACATGATCTCAACTATATCGCTGTATGATATGAACTCAAATGATGCCAGCCTCCTGAAAACATTTGTTTGAATAGAAGCCTGACTTGGGTTATAGGATGTTGTAAATACTGGGAGAAATTGAAATGGCAGCGTTGTGCAAGGAGAACATTTACATCATAACTTCATTCAAGAAGGTATTCTTGGTGTAGAGTAATAATGAATGGCAAGTAGAAGTGAATGTTAGATATTTTCAAATTAACTTAGGTTTCATGCTTATGCTAAGCCATAACTTTTAACCCTGGAATTTTGGAATTTGCATATGGTATGGCCATTGCTGAGAAATGGGCTGGCCATGGATCTGGAGAGTATGCAGGTTGCAGAATTCCTAAAGTGATCTGTTTCATTTTAACTTCATACAGTATGTGAAACTAGGAGAAGGAGTGGGAGAACCTAGAGGCGGAGTCAAAAGAGAAATCAGCCTGGAATTTCTATGTAGCCACAAATGGACTGATTCCAGCACCTCTTGGATTCCATGCCAAGATAGTGCTATTATTTGAGTAGATTTTTATAAATAGGCATACTTAGTAATACATCAATTTAATTGGAACTTGTGTTATCCTGATTTTTCACGCCTAACTAGCCATTAGAGTTTGTCATCGATGCTTTATAATATAGGTTGGTTTTGTATTGGTTTTTTTTGTTTACAAATATTTTTAATAATTTGTAAACCACCCAGAGCCACTGGGAGTTGGGAGGCATAAAATGTTAATAAGAATGATAATAGAAAATCTATGAATTGACATAATTTCTGTCTGTCAATTACAAGACCTGACTGGATGAACTCAGGCATAATATACGAAATCTAAGGAATAATTTCTTGGTCACTCTTTAACTTACAATTGATTGTGCAGTTTTGGAAGTGAGTTCTATAACAACGAATCAAATGTGATTCATCTTTTTCCTATATGATTTTTTTTGAAATTTTCTTTTCCTTTGTTTACAGTTTGTTCCTAAGGAGAACTGTTTATACTGCATTGTCATGTTTGTAGAAAGGGAAAGATGCTGATCAGCATTCTTCATTGTGGTATCCTCCAGATATGTTTGAAATAGCAACTTCCATATTTCCACGTAGGATAGGTAACATAATTCTAGGAAATAGGGGACATATTCTGGCGCATATGAAGTTTAGTAAGCTCATTTACAAAATGCCATAGGTTAACTTTGAGCAGAGATTGGATATTTGTGGCCATATGACCAAGTAGCTAAAAAGTTGGGAAGATTTGACAGGCAATAACCATGGTGGGAAGCTGTGGGATGCGGAGAGCATTTTGATGATTTTTAAAATAAAATATTCCTGCTGATGTTTTAACCCCCCCAAAATAAAACGGAAGCTTATGGAAATGATAAACTAAAGAAAAGAAGAAGAAAGATGAATTAAAAGTGACTGAGAGACAGAGTATTTATCAGAGTATAAATTCAAAAAGGGTATCTTTTGGCTAATGGAACTTCTTGTAAATCATGCTGGTTGACTAATATTTTACAGGGAAAACTCCAAGCGCCATAAAATGGCTCGAAACAGTAAAACCTGAATGGATTTTCCATATCTGACATTTGTTTGCTTCATAGACCAGTGTCGTACTTAAGCTGCAGGGATATTTTCCCACAGGCCCTTTCTCTTCCTCCTGCGCACTCTTTGTTTTTAAAAATGTTTGGGGAATGCCAGAACAGTAGGTGGAGTGGGAGGCTGTTATTGTGTTGATTTCCTGAGATTGTTACTTTTGGCATGGGATGCTTTTTCTCTCCCCCCCCCCCATTTTTAAAACAGGAAGTAAATCAAAGCCACCCACCCCTCATCATTTTAGCTTGTTTTTTGTCTACCCATTTTATAGCAAATCTGTACAATAGTGTAATGTACAGTATTTTCCCAAGGTTTTTTTTCTGTGTGTTTTCCTGCTGCATAAGGTTAAAAAAATATAATAAAGTTATATTCTAGCTACAGGTAGTCCATTACCCACGACCACAATTGACTTCAAAATTTCTGTTGCTAAGCGAAACAGTTGTGAGTTTTGCCCCATTTTATGACCTTTCTTGCCACTGTCGGTAAGTGAATCACTGCAGTTGTTAAGTTAGTCACACAATTATTAAATGAATTTGGCTTCCCCATTGACTCCACTTGTCAGAAGGTCGCAAAAGGTGGTCACGTGACCCCGGGACCGTGCAACCATCATAAATATGAGTCAGTTGCCAAGCGTCTGAATTTTGATCATGTGACCACGGGGATGCTGCAACGGTTGTAAGTATGAAAAGTGGTCATAAGTCACTTTTTTCAGTGCCGCTGTAACTTCAAATGGTCAGTAAATGAACTGTTGTAAGCCAAGGACTATCTGTAGTCACCTTCATCTAGAACAGGGGTCCCCAACCCCCAGTCCGTGGACCAGTACCGGGCCGCAGCATGCCAGCAACCGGGTCTCACAAACAAACAAAGCCCCGTCCGTGGGATGCAGGCAGCACATAAAACCATGCACCCTTTGGTCCGCGGAAAAACCTCTCTCCACGGAACCGGTCCCTGGTATCCAAAAGGTTGGAGACCTCTGATCTAGACGAGGTATCATTGTGACAATGTCCTCTTATAATGAATGTTCCTCTTTCTCTTTCGTGTGCAGCTGAGGAGGGGGAGCAGCCAACACAGGATGCTGGAACAGTGGCTGAAGTTCTGGAATCCGGCGACACAACCCCGCCTTCCAAGAGAAAGAGCAAATTTGCTGGGTTTGGCAAGATCTTTAAACCTTGGAAGTGGCGAAAAAAGAAAACCAGTGGAAAATTTAAAGAGACATCAGAAGGTAATCTGCTAGACTCCAGTCCTGTTCTTCTCCCCTTAAGCCCTTGTGCATTCTTAGCCTGAGTTTGCTCACTGCATTAAGTGGTAAAGTGGCTTGATTTCTTTTGGCTTTTGAGTGGTAATGAGAGACTCTTGGCACTGTACTTTGTAAATCATGTTTTGTGGCTTAATTCAAGGGAAGGAGTAAGTGAAATGTAGTTTAATCAACAAACCACAAGTAATAGTCTGTTATTTCCTGAGACCCCAGTCCTTGTTTTGGACATGGTACCGTATTTGTTCTTATGCCATTTTACCTCCCTGACTGCTTTGGCCACAGGTCACTGAATCAACAGATCTTCCAGATCAGAAATTATCTGGCATAGCACTTTGCATTCTTACCTGAAAATAGCAGATTCCAGATCTGCTTCCTCAGAAATGTTTTCAAAGTTTTATTGCCACTTAATAATGATAGCCAACTGCGGCTATAACTAAGCTTTGCTGAAGTGGCCTGTAGTAAAATGTCAAATAGAATTTCAGACAAGGAGTGCCTAGTTAAAGTTCCATTGACTGTTTTCCAGTTGTAAAATATTGTATGCATGAAGTGTTATCCTCCTCTTGCAACATGGATTGAGGGAAAAGAAATATTTACATAAGAATATGTATGTAACATTCATCCTTAAAACAATCACAATGAGCCACTTAACCATATCTTAAAAGTGATTTTTTCCCCTCCATCTTTGCCCTCTATTCTGAGTGCTGGTTTTTTGTTTCCAATTTAATGTCAGTTTTAGAACGAAAGATTTCAATGCGAAAACCAAGAGAGGAGCTCATTAAAAGAGGGGTTCTTTTGGAAGATGTTGAACAGGGTGAGTTTACCCATTGTCTTCCTCTGTGTATTCTACATTTGCAGTTCCAGCTCTGATAAGTTTCATCTTTGGCATTTCATGCCTGGGTGCCCCCTCGCTTTCTCCCATCCCATCCCATCCCCTTCCCCACCTCTGTTAAATATGACTCTCTGTCTTTATCTGCCCTTTGAACATTTTTGATACTATATGTTCCGGGGAGAGACAGCGAAAGAACTGTTTCATTTATTTCCTTTCTTTTCTCCAAGGAGACATTTTAGGTTGACAAATTATGAGTTTCTGAAGGTCAGCTAGTGAGTAACTGAAAAGCTGACTTGGATTCCAAGGTAGCAGTAAAAAGGAATAGCAAAAGCACTTATATATATTGCTCCACAGTGCTTTACAGCACTCTCTGAGCGGTTTACAAATGTCAGCATATTGGCCCCAACAATCTGGGTCCTCATTTTACTGAACTTGAAAGGATGGAAGGCTGAGTTAATCTTGAGCCCATCAGGATCAAACTCCAGTCTTTGGGCAGAGTTAGCCTGCAATAGTGCATTCTAACCACTGCGCCACCACAGCTCATAATGGCACAAGGATAATGCACAACCTTCATATATAGAGGACTTTGGTTCAATTCTTGATAATTGATGATGGGGCTAGATACATCTAAAATTGTGGGTGACTGGATGATTGACAGCCAACTACCAAAATTCTTAGCAGATGTGATCTTATATCTGGATAATTCAAGACTGGAAAGCTCAGTGATTTTGGGACCATAATTTAGATTTTGGGGACCATAATTTAGACTTTTGAAGCATAAGCAGCTGTGGCATTCCCAGCCACAAAATCCTCATTTTCTGGAAAGTAAAAATGAGGATCCTCACTGCCAGTACTTTAGATTTTCAGGGTGTTCCTCTTCCCCCCTCCCAGGTGGGCACACTTTCTTTAAAAAAAAAAAGCCTTAATTCAAGACCCAGAGGCATTTCTGTTGATAAAGAAAATACTAAACGTGGTCTCCCTTGCAGCAGTTGGCTACTTTCAAATTTAAAGAGCATGAAAGAAGTTTTAAAAGTCAGGTGACGCAGTGGGCTTGGTGGGATTCAAGGAACATATCAGTAGGTCTGTTGGTGCTTCCCAGGGAACACATTGGGGGATACAGGCATGGAAAGTTGTGAGTAAAATGGACTGCAAATCTGTCCCAAAGGTGCTTTTTCAAAAGGCAGCTGGACTTTGTTTTTTCCTTGAAGATGTTTTGCTTCTCATCCAAGAAGTGTCTTCAGTTGGATGAGAAGCAAAACATCTTCAAGGAAAAACAAAGTCCAGTTGCCTTTTGAAAAAGCGCCTTTGGGACAACCATGACCTGGGTGACTGAGAATCTCCAAAGATAATCTGGCTCATTATAACACAATTGCTTAGCTTCTAGCCCTACTTCACTGGGGCTACTTTGCTACATCAAGGCATCTTTACTTGAGGTGGGATGTTCTAAAGGCAGCAAAGGAACAGATAGACTTATTCATAAAATCTTCAGCAGAAAAGAATTTACTGTCCCCAGCTGGATGAGGAACTGAATTCCTCTGTCCTGAACTAATGTCATCCTTTGTCAAAGTTAGGAATGTTGCAAAGAGCAAGCTGGTCATTCTCCCTTCCCCATTTCAGTCAGATATTAAATGGAAACCTTGGCTGTGGTGGTGGGGACTGTTTTGCAGAATATTGCTGATCCAGCCACAGGAAAAGGCAGAAGAGGAAATACCCTTTCCTTCTCAGTAGGACAAGAAATCCATGCCTCTCCCTTCCTATTCTTTACTTACTGTGAGTTAAAAATATTTGTGTTCCACTTGACAGCAGGACTCCAGGTTCAGTGTAAATGAACTCAGGATAGGAGAGGTCTGGAGAGGTAGTGATAGAAACTTACTCCCCCAGTTTCTTCCTTCATTGTGATAGGATGGAAATGAAGAATCACTCTGCTTCTCTTAGCATGCTCACAGCTTTGTCAATACATCTGGGATGCAGCATGCATCTGTGGGATTCACACAACCTTGGTTTCCTTTTTAGCTAGCCCAGGGTTTTTCCAGTGGCACCACCACACATCCTAAGAAGGAAGAACAGGAGCCTTGAAATGCCATTCCACACTTTGAACACCTGCTCAGCAGGCTGAGCAGACTCGGTGGCTATTTGTCAACTTTTCCCTACTCAGAGAATGAAGTGCGTTATATTTATAATTACATTGGAGTAATTTTTTAAATCTACACCTATAAATCAGCATTTATAAGCTCATGCAGATTATGCAACCTGCATTTGAGGTGATGTATAAGTCACCATCCAAGGAAAAGAACGCACACTTTGTGCTTAGTGGATCGAAAGCATTTGCTCTTCTCTCCTTAATTAAGTGTTTCCCTCTTTGGGAGAAGGTACTGTAGCTTCCAATTGAAGAGGAGCAGGCACTTTGGATCGGTTCTTATTTTGAGCTTATTTTCTAAACTGTCTTCCTGACCACTACCACCACACCTCCTCTCTCTGTTCTCTTATCTTTGGCCTGCAAAGAACCCATAAACACATAAACAATCCATCTCTCTCATCAGTTTTAGAAGTTCACATAGAGACCACAAGAGAAGCGGTTGCCTGTATATGTGCCAAGATAATTTACTCAGCCGTTGCCTTCATTTCCTCCTTAAACAGAAGCTGGAAATTCAGAAACACAGCACAATGGCGTGTATTTTGTTGGGGCTAGTGAAAATGATACAGGCATGTGATATACACAGCATTGGAGAATAGTGTGTAACGTCACGCTCTAGTTACACTGAGAGAAAAACAAGCAAGGGTAAATAGAGGACTGCTTGGTGTTAAAATGACTAAAGTGGCATATAAACATTTGGGGGAAAAATGAAGGAATGAAGGAATGAATAAATGAATAAATATTAAAAACAGAAAAACATAAACTTGCAGGTACACGTTACAGCATGAGGTTGAGTTTTATTATGATAGGAGTTTCTTATTGACAACATGAACCTAAAAGAGAGTCTATTTACAGTTTGAGACTAAGTTACAGAATTTAAAAATACAGCACACCGTTAAGACATGCATATGTGCATAAGTAACAATACATCTATATACTACTAAAACTCTATTTGTCTGTTTGCAAGCTTCAGTTGAGGAAGTGAGTACATCATAGGGCAACAGTTTTTGAATCAACATACCTGAAATGGGCTAACTCAAACAATACATCCTAATCTGGATCCCATTGCTCCTATGGACTTGAAATTTGGCAAAATTGTGGCTGTTTCAGCACTGCTGTGTTGCCACACCACTGCCCTGATGTGGTCAGCTGTAGTCTTGTGATCTTCATTTCCCTATCAACTTCCACAATGAAAGTCAATGGGAAAGCCAGCAGGAAGTCGGAGGTTGCTCCTCCTCCTCCTCCTCCTCCTCCTCCTCCTCCTCCTCCTCCTCCTCCTGCTTTTTGCCTGCCCGGTTTCTCTATTTAGGTAAGAAATATCTTTAAAATGATGACCTGACAGGTTATGGGTTGTCTAGTACATTTATAAAAAGAAGCCCTATAAAATTAATAATCATTGAAGGCACTAACTGGTTTCTATAAGCAAAGGCTACAAATAAAAGCTTTGCTCCTGCCTTCAAAACTCCTGGGTATGGATCATTTAGACAGAATGCCTCAATCTTGTTATCCTCAGTAACGTTTATCAGACTCAGGAGCAGATGTATTAGCTCCAATTGCCACTGTGAGTACAGGGTGCATTTTAAAAGGATATGTGAAACAAACTCAGCTTCTGTCTTTGAGCAAACACATATTTGATCCTCCTATGGAAGTTTGGCATATCAACCAGCTGTCAAGCAGGGTCTGTAAATGGAATCGTAATAACTTGAATCAGGGAGGAAATAAGTGACAGAAGTGAAAGTGATGCCTTGTATAAAGTGGGAGTGATCTTGGGTACCCTGTGCCCAGTTTTTCCCTCTTCTAGAACTGACCTGCTCCTGGATAGCCACAGTATAAGGGGGGTCATGCACGAATACAAGGAAGTACCCAGATTTCTAACAGGTAGCTGACGTGTATATACCTCACTTCCTAACAATGTTTTGTTGTGATTGATGCATTGAAAACATATTTCACAGTGTCTGTTCCACATATGAGTGCACAGCAGCATGGGGAAGGTTGTTCTTTGGACAATCTTGTGTTGATGCAGTGTGTTTGCAGATAATAACCGCCCTGAGTCCGCAAGGAGAAGGGCGGGATATAAATTTAATAATAAATAAATAAAATAAAATAAGTTCTCGTGTGCAGATAACAGTTTAAGAAAGTTTGTTTTTTCAAACCCAGAAAGGAATTTTCTGGTGCTCTTTCTGTAAAAGTGACATACTGTTCAATCTGTTTTGACCTCTTGATTTACTTGTGCGTTGTGTTATGGATGCACTTGGTTGTTTCAAATCAAGGTCATGCCTTCTGCTAGGTTTGTCTTTTAATTCTCTCTGGACGGAAGGTGATTCTTCCCTTTGTCTTTTCAGATGAAGTGGTGATTGCTAACAGACCTGTATTCTTGTTTTTATGGAATATAATAATAATAATAGTAGTAGTAGTAGTAGTAGTAGTAGTAGTAGTAGTAGTAGTAGTAGTAGTAAAGTTGGAAGGTACCTTGGAGGTCATCTAGTCCAACCCCCTGCTCAGGCAGGAAAACCTATACCATTTCGGACAAATGGCTGTCCAGTCTCTTCTTAAAAACTTCCAATGTTGGAGCATTCACCACTTCTGGAGGCAGGTTGTTCCACTGGTTAATTGTTCTAACTGTCAGGAAGTTTCTCCTTAGTTCTAGGTTGCTTCTCTCCTTGATTAGTTTCCATCCGTTATGTTATTGTCTTTGGGATTTTAAGCTTTGTGTGTTGCTCAGAGTCAAATTTGTGATACGGGCAGCTGTACAAATTGTCTAAACAAACAACCAAACCAAGAAATAATCCAAATCATGAGTAAGAACCAATTCCTGTTGGAGTAGTGTTGAGCCTTCAGTGAACATTGTCTAGACCAGACTTGGCCATTTTATGGCCCCGGGCCACATCTGGCCCTTTGGTTGTCCCTGACTTGCCTGTGTGAGGTCAGTCAAAAATTAGAAATCAAATGTAAATTAGACATAACATGTATTCTTACCAGTAGCAGCTAACCAAAACCATGTAATTTATTGCTTTTTATAAAACAATAAAATTAACATTGAGCAGAATTAAGTTCAGCCTATTAGTTTGACCCTCACAACAGTCCTAGTTTCTCATGTGGCTGCTTGGGAAAATTAATTGCCCTCCCCTGGGCTAGACCTTCGGTTTCCTGACATTTCACTAGCAACTGTGGTTGACATCTTCAGATGCAAGGTAGCCTGTGGACCACAGTCACTAAAACCTTGAAGCTCAACACTGCCTAACAGTTTACTGGCTGTGAAAACCCACATTAGGATGCTGTTGATTTATTGAAGCCACAAATGACAAATTAAATGTCATTAAAGAAAGAATCTGAAAAGCTAGTTCTGTGTTCACTGAACTGTCTGACACTGAGTTTTATGGATCAAAGAACCCATGGGGAAACTTGACTTTCTGCAGTAATCCTTTTTATAAAATCTCATAATCCTCCCCCCCCCTCAAGTGTACTGAAAGCAAGGTGCCCCTTTTATCATAAATTCCCCATGGGATATTAAGAAAGCAAAGACACATATTTCACAAAAAGTATGGACATTTCTCTTTCTGGCTTTATGAATCCCCCTGACTCCTGCAGAATATTTCTTGCTAAATTTCCATTTAGGCATAAGGCAATAATAAGATTATAGAAATAGATATTTCTTAAATTGGAGTAATCAGCAATATTACACAACAAAAACTCCTTTATTCCAAAAACCCCCTCTGAACTGGAATGATAACTAATATTTCACAATAAGGGCATAATTCCATTAAATTTCACTGTTAGGAGGCTGGATAGGCTTTGTTCAAGGCCAAACACAATGTAAGATTAATCAAGCTCCATAGCTCTCCATATCCCATATTTCTCATTTTGAAATATTCTATCTATTTTTAACTAAAGCTTATGGTGCATGGGTTTCCCCTCCCTCCTCTCTGTCTACTGTATTCCTGATTTTTAACAATGAGCAGAAGTTAAACAGAGGGCAAAAGACTACTTCAAACATTAAACACTTCAGTATAAATATTTTATTAACAATGAATAACCTTCACAAGTTACGCATGTCATTCAAGTATGTGAACTTGCTTAGCTAAACAAAGCAAGTATTTTAAGAGATTTAATCCCTGCTACATGATCTTTCTTTCTTTCTTTCTTTCTTTCTTTCTTTCTTTCTTTCTTTCTTTCTTTCTTTCTTTCTTTCTTTCTTTCTTTCTTTCTTTCTTTTTCTCTCTCTCTCTCTCTCCCTCCCTCCCTCCTTCAATTCCTTCCTTCCTTCCTTCCTCCCTTCCTTCCTTCCTTCCTTCCTTCCTTCCTTCCTTCCTTCCTTCCTTCCTTCCTTCCTTCCTTGAAATCCAGAATCACCTTCTAAATAGACTGTATCCCCTATTCTTTCTTTTTTTCTCTCAGCAGTTTGTAAGAGATTTAAAGAAACATTCACATATAAGAACATGCTCCCAGCCACACATGTACACAGACACACATTGGAGGCATGTGAAATATTCAGAAGTATAGAAGTATCACCTTTGTTTTACCTGCCCTGTTTTGTAGCTTTACCATAAAAACTAGCCAGCTGAGATCAGCTCATAAATTTGGGATTTTACCAAGGCATTTGTGAATCTTCAGCCATTTTAGATATTCCAAATTCCTAGTTAGTTGGGATTTAATATATTTATTTATTTATTTATTTATAATTTGATTTGTATCCCGCCCTTCTCCTCACCGGACTCAGGGCGGCTAACAGCCTTATAAAACAACATTACAACAAATATCAATATTAAAACCAAATTAAAAGAAAATATTTGTAAAGGCCTAGTCGTTAAAATTACCCTTAAAATTACCCTTAAAAACCCCACTAAAATTCCC